CCCCCCCCCCCCCCCCCACAGACCGTGACAGACAGTCACGTGACTCATCACAGACCGTGACAGACAGGGCTCTGGACCCATCACAGACCGTGACAGACAGGCCCGGGATCCATCACAGACCGTGACAGACAGGCTTTGGAACCATCACAGACCGTGACAGACAGGCCCGGGATCCATCACAGACCGTGACAGAGAACCTCCGGACCCATCACAGACCGTGACAGAGAACCGTGGGTACCCATCACAGACCGTGACAGAGAAACGTGGGTACCCATCACAGACCGTGACAGAGAATCCGGGTACCCATCACAGACCGTGACAGAGAACCCTGGGTACCCATCACAGACCGTGACAGAGAATCCGGGTACCCATCACAGACCGTGACAGAGAACCGTGGGTACCCATCACAGACCGTGACAGAGAACCCGGGTACCCATCACAGACCGTGACAGAGAACCCGGGTACCCATCACAGACCGTGACAGAGAACCTCCGGACCCATCACAGGCCGTGACAGAGAATCGTGGGTACCCATCACAGACCGTGACAGAGAACCGTGGGTACCCATCACAGACCGTGACAGAGAACCGTGGGTACCCATCACAGACCGTGACAGAGAAACGTGGGTACCCATCGCAGACCGTGACAGAGAACCCGGGTACCCATCACAGACCGTGAGAGAGAATCCGAGTACCCATCACAGACCGTGACAGAGAAATTGTAGTTATAAAGCATCAGATATACGGTCAGCTACAAATGTGTCGTAAGGAAATGCAACAAAAGGATTTCCATTTTATTAGTAACAATAGGTCCATCGTGTTTCACATTTTTAATCCCGCAAGGGATTGCGCTAACAGCTTTGCTATAGGTTATCGATGGCCCTGAATCCGAATCCGAAGCCATTTCTTTGGCCGAAGTTTCATTGGTCGGAAACCGGTCAATCAAAAAAGGAACTTTTTTATTTTACGGCTTTTGGCCGTTTTGATCGAACTTTGTTAGAGGTTATCGAGGGTGAGAAATCCGAATCTGGAATCAGGATTCCAAAATTCAGATCTCGAATCTATTCGTTCTATGAGAAGTGATGTTGAGAAACAGCAAGTACTTTGTAATACGTGAAGTAGTGTAATGAATCAAGAAATACGAAGATAAGATGAAATTAGAGTGCTTGTAGAACAAAGATTGAGGAATGAGAGCGAGTTACGCAAAAAAATTATTTAGATTGACAGGATACAACGGCTGTGTCCACTTATTCAGAATACTTCAGATTATCGGTAAATCTATACTAACGTGTCCTCTTCCTGAATACTGATAAGCTTCCAAAGAAAATTTCTAATGTGGATGAATTTTTTTGTAAAGGATCAAACTTTCCATCAGTTTTTTAAATAGGAACGATGGCTCGATTTTGAAAATGGTATCAACCTTTCGTGAGTGAAAGTAGCTGGAAGTAGCGGATAGCCGTGAATGGCGTTCCTTCGGAAGGACGGCGAACGAATAGCTGCCTCTAAACTAGGTTTATTCAAATCTGTTTTACGACATTTCTGCATAACATCAAGCAAGGTCCTTAAAAGAGTGCCACAGAGACTTAACATGTGACATTTTATGTAGAGAAGGACTCCTATAAACATGGAGAAACTCGAGAGACGACACGTATATATTTAATAGATATCTTGCTGGATATAGGAAATCTAGTACGCTTTAGTTACGAGTAGAGAAGCTTTTGAAGCAGTCGAAATGTGGATTAGTCATGCCTTGAATAAGAAAGTAGTCATTTGAGAATATGTGTTCAAAGATAGTAGTAGCTAAGTGTGAATAGCGCCACGTCGGAACTCCGACAGTGAAATATAGTAGCTTCTATTTCTATTTCACAATTTTTTTGGTATGAGATATGGTCTATTAAGCTAGTTTTTTGTGTGAAATCATATACTTAAGCTTCTTTCGATGGCGAGCTCCATGAAATCTTAGATTGACTAGCTAGGTAAAGGATTGAAACGCATAAGGAATAGTTCACAAGTATTTTCACTTTGGGATTTCTCATGCGATAAATATAGGCAGCTTTGAAACTAATCCAAATCTAGAATCCAGTAAAATTTAAATAACAGTGCATGATTATATAATTACTGGAAGAGAACGATGCATAACAGCAATTAGTTGCGCGTGACGACCCACTCGGATGCCGACGAGTGACTAGCTGCTGCCCTAAAAAATCCTTTGAATAGAATTCTTTTAAACTTCTAATCCATTGGAAGGATCTCTAGCACTTAGATCTTACTAGGATTCATGGGAGGAAGAACTGGCAAGAGGGTTAACAAGTGTATTTGAATGAAGTGTGAGAACGAGTGTGTTGGAGATCTTCAATATCGGAATCGAACATTTCCTGAAAAGCGTCAATAATACAATTTGCATCGAATCATCAAAAGTGGACTTGAATGGAATTTAATAATCCTTTATCTTCATAGATACGTCATCTGCCCATTGACTTGTCAAATTTTTTTTCCGGCTATTTAAAATTCGTTATTTAATCTCACAAAGACTCAGAGTTGAAGCCTGATTCAACTTGCGTATGCCGGATATTAGTTTGAACAAATATAGCTTTTTAGTCTGATAGCTACGCTAAACATGCATTTTCGTAGTGGGTACCGGTCAGCGATATTGCCCGCCTATGTGTTTATGAGTATGCGCATTATTAATACAGTTTGCGTGAAGTGTAGTGCATCTTTACTGCAGTCACGCTGATATTTTTTGTCTGCTGATTTTCTCTGAAAATCGAATATACTATTTTTTCGTGGTTTGAGGATATTGCTGTGTCAGTGTGGGTCACGTAGATTTCTTTTGAGTGTTATTGATAGAGTAACAGATTAAATGAACGAATGTTATAGCTAGCAGTATTACAACGGTACCAATAGCATTATACACGCCGACACATGTGTACACTAATGTTGACACTAGCACAAAGCCATGTGCAAATGCCCGATGCTACCTTTTGCAAAATGTCTGCAGTAATAAACAACTGCCGATGCAGTGAAATATTCAGTCGAGGGTTAAGCGAGTCACACAGACGAGCGTTACTTGTTGCTCTTGTTCGGATATTGGACGTATTCTTGATTGATATCCATTTGTGCTAAAGTTCGACCCAAAGCATCCATATGAAGAGTTAAAGCCGATGATTTTCCACTACCTAAAATATTAGTACAATCTAGTATCAAGAAAATAAGATTGCTTTAAGACAATCACCTGATGTTCCTATAACATGTCCGAACATATTTGTACCATCTGGATTTCCATTATTAACATAATGATAATAACAAGAATTATCATTGATAGCGGACAAATAATGTAGCAATATATACAGATTAAGACCTCGGTCAACATTCGAATCTATTGACCATGACATTAACGTACTCTCTTCAAATGATGTTAATTGTGATAATTGCTCGCATGGATCAAAAACTTCCTGGGCCATACATAAATGGGAACGAGTCTGTGCATGTATTAATAAGAAATCACGCAATGTTGGCTTCTGTGGACGTGATAACATATTCAGAAAAATCAAACTGAACTAGAAATATCCTATTAAAAGCAGAAATAAATAATAATAATACCAACACCAAATCCAGAGAATCCAAATATATATAATCAGACGAAGACTTCAGTTCAGGACGAAAAACATCAGCATTGACGATATATTCTAAAATATATAAAGTATATACCCATTTCTGTTTAACTCCATCAAAGAAGAAATACAACTAAAATAAAGTATATTAGCGACTCCCCACCACAATATATATACCAATACATACCCAGAGAAAAAAAAACATAGAAATACAAAATAGTCACATATAAACAAATGAGTGCAGACCTCGATCATTTTTTCGCGATGATAAATCACATGCAGAATTGCCCTTACTGTTAGTAGTATAATGTATTCGTCCGCTATGGAAAACAAATCGAACAGAAGAAAAACATTATAGAATACGACATCAGACATTATTCACTCTGCACGCATATAAGAAAAAAAGACATCCAGGTCATCACACACGATAAAGAATCAAACGAATAATCTATCAATCCTCGTATTCGTACACTACCGAGAATAGTCCGATACATACCAAACGACGCCTTACTTCGAATTATAATTTTATAATTAGGATAAAATTTATCTTTTGCTTTTTTGCCAGACTTATATAAGTGTCTAAATTCGAATTATAATTTTATAATTAGGATAAAATTTATCTTTTGCTTTTTTGCCGGACTTATATAAGTGTCTAAATTCGAATTATAAATTTATAATTAGGATAAAATTTATCTTTTGCTTTTTTGCCAGACTTATATAAGTGTCTAAATTCGAATTATAAATTTATAATTAGGATAAATTTTTTCTTTTGCTTTTTTGCCGGACTTATATAAGTGTCTAAATTCGAATTATAAATTTATAATTAGGATAAAATTTATCTTTTGCTTTTTTGCCAGACTTATATAAGTGTCTAAATTCGAATTATAATTTTATAATTAGGATAAATTTTTTCTTTTGCTTTTTTGCCGGACTTATATAAGTGTCTAAATTCGAATTATAATTTTATAATTAGGATAAATTTTATCTTTTGCTTTTTTGCCAGACTTATATAAGTGTCTAAATTCGAATTATAATTTTATAACTAGGATAAATTTTATCTTTTGCTTTTTTGCCAGACTTATATAAGTGTCTCAATTCGAATTATAAATTTATAACTAGGATAAAATTTATCTTTTGCTTTTTTGCCAGACTTATATAAGTGTCTAAATTCGAATTATAATTTTATAATTAGGATAAATTTTATCTTTTGCTTTTTTGCCAGACTTATATAAGTGTCTAAATTCGAATTATAAATTTATAATTAGGATAAAATTTATCTTTTGCTTTTTTGCCAGACTTATATAAGTGTCTCAATTCGAATTATAAATTTATAACTAGGATAAAATTTATCTTTTGCTTTTTTGCCAGACTTATATAAGTGTCTAAATTCGAATTATAAATTTATAATTAGGATAAATTTTTTCTTTTGCTTTTTTGCCGGACTTATATAAGTGTCTAAATTCGAATTATAATTTTATAATTAGGATAAATTTTATCTTTTGCTTTTTTGCCAGACTTATATAAGTGTCTAAATTCCAATTATAAATTTATAATTAGGATAAAATTTATCTTTTGCTTTTTTGCCAGACTTATATAAGTGTCTAAATTCGAATTATAATTTTATAATTAGGATAAAATTTATCTTTTGCTTTTTTGCCAGACTTATATAAGTGTCTAAATTCGAATTATAAATTTATAATTAGGATAAATTTTTTCTTTTGCTTTTTTGCCGGACTTATATAAGTGTCTAAATTCGAATTA